ACCACATCCTAGAGGAGGAGCTGAGAGTCAGGGATGCTGCACCACATCCAGTTTATGCATTTGATGAGATCAAAGCCAGGGCATCATACAGTTCAGTAGGCAAGTACTTTAGCCAATCTACCTAACTAGACTAGTTATATTTCATCTAACCCCAGCTTCTGTGTAAGACACAGAACAGATTTTTTTTTTGTTTGTTCTGCTGGTATTCTTTGTACAATTTAAAATTTATTTTGCTTTTTTCTGAAAGAGGGATGTATAGTCTTTCATCATTTCCAAAAGGTTTTGGATTTCACACAATATTTTCAAAAACTTGCTTTTATTATATTTATTCTTCTACAGACTTCATTCAAGTTCTTTTATAGGTGGGTTCCAGGTGGAAGTTGCAGTGGTTTACACCTGGTTCCATTTATTGAGGTCCTTGTTCTGTTGTCATGGGTCACCAAAGCCTTGGGAATGGTGCTCCAAGTGACGAAGGAGTACAGCAGTGAAATGTTACCCCTGGGGCTAGAGAGACGGCTCAGTGATCGGGAGCACGGGCCGCTCTGAGGGAGGATCTGGGTTTGGTTCCTGCCACCCACATGGTAGCTCACAACTGTTGGTAACTTCAGTTCCAGAAAATTTGATGTCCTCTTTTGCCTCTTTGAGTGGTGCATGCATGTGGAACATTTACATGCAGACAAAACACTTACATAGATAAAGTAAAAATCAACAAATTTTTAAAAGTTATTATTTTAATATGTGCTTATTGTATATAAATTGGTTTGAAAATAACTTAAAAACACATTTTGATATATGTATTTAGGAAGTATAAGTGACTTTTAGTTTAGGGTTACCTGTGATCGAGGTGGCATTTTTAGAACTTGTAAACTGTTTTCCTCACTGCTCTGCTGAAATTAATAGTCTCAGAGCCCTTAAGATCAGTACTCTATCAAATTATTCAAGCTAGGGAAGAAAAATAACTATAGTTTCTAAATATTAAGCACATTTCCTTAAAATTCACATAATTATTAAAGTTAGTGTTCTTTATTGAACTTACTCATCTCCCTTGGAGGGTGCTATAGGATATTTGGGGAATAGCAGGTACGTTCCCCCACTACTTGGCAGACCAAGCAGCTCACAAGGAGGCTGTGCACATTTGTTGATTGCTGTGATGTAGGGTGTGTTCTGTTTATGTAGGGGAGGAACAGTGTTCTATGGGCTGAACTTGAAGTACTTGATGCACTGAACATCATTTTGGAGTCCTTACAGAGACTAGGAGAGCTCAGTCCTGGAATGTTGAGACTTGGCCGGACAGTGCATCATATGGAGGTTGGAGAGGCAGATGAGAGAAGAATCAGTGTTCATTCCGGGAACTCTGAGGCTGCAGAGCAGTCTTAATCTTGTGTACCCTGGCTCTTCAGAGGTGGTATACCGTCAGCCAAGTAAAGTGCTGTGTGAAATTTCCCCCATGACTTCCGTTGGTTACTCAGGAGCGTTATAATTACCTAGGATAGTCTAGGGGAAGACTTGATACTACTGATGATGTGGAAGATGCAGAGAGACTTCCTCAGTTATCTGAGATACTGAGAGGTGGGAGGAAGGTCCTAGCTTCTTTTGAATGGTCAGGTCAGTAGCAGAGAGACAGTGAAGGCATGTATTGGCTTTGATTCTGGAGGTGTGCTCCATCTTCCTTTCTTCATCTGAGCAAATTGTATATAAACAAACATTTTCACATAGGCATTTCTGAGAAATGTGTGTGTAATGTCCGTGTAGATTGCTTCCCAGATGTATTCATATGATCATTCTGTGTAAAAGTGAGAGAGCCAGATGGTGGTGGTGCACACCTTTAATCCCAGTGCTCGGGCAGCGAAGGCAGGTGGATCTCTGTGAGTTCAGGCCAGCCAGGTCTACAGAGCGAGTTCCAGGACAGTCAAGGCTACACAGAGAAACCGCAAATCAAAAACCCAAAAAGAAAAAAAAGTGATAGAAAAGGTGGTGGGTGTTAGCCAGAGCAACAAGAGAATAAGAGTGGGGAATGAGAAATACCAAGAGTCCAGCTCTGTTTTGTAATTTAAAAAGTATTTATATACTTTCATGTATATGTATGTGTGTGTGAGCTTACATATGTGCACCATGTGCACTCTTGGTATCCAGGGAGGTCAGAAGAGACATCTTATCTTCTGGAACTGGACTTACAGGCACTTGTGAGCCGCCAAATGTGTGCTAGGTCCTCCGGAAAAGCTGCCAGTGCTCTTAATGACTGAGCCATCTCTCCAGCCCGTCTTGTAATTTTGAGCCTGGACAAGTGATAGGATTATTAACAAAAAATAAACGTTTTCTCTGCCAAACACGTTCATGAATTGGAATGGTTAATTTCTTTCCTTTTGTCAGTATGCTAGGGTAAATTTTCATTATTTTCCAAGTTACTAACAGTCTAGTAGTTTATTAATTCTTTAAGTTACTGTATTATAATGTCAATTTAAAATCACTATTAGATTTCTTAAGGTAATTCTCTTCATTTTTAACCTTTTCCTGCAGCAGAGCTCTGAGTACAGTTCATAACCTAATTTTGCTGAGCTTTGCATCCAAAACTGGTATACAGAATAATAGGGGGAATCTTGATAGAAAAAAAATAGAAGGGCTGGGGATCTAACTCAGTTTGTGGAGCTGTTCCAAGCATGTGCGAAGCTCCGGGTTCAACCCCCAATACTACATAAAGAGGGTGCTGTGGCATAGGCCTGTAATCCTAGCACCTACCTGGGGGTAGATCAAGGAAGATGAGAAGCTCAAGGTCATCCTTGGAACACAGTGAGTTGAAGCTAGCTGGGGTTATATGAAATTGTGATTCACAGCAAAGAAAAATGACCTTTCGTGATTTGGAACTAGCAGTTTATGCTCATTGATGGAGTGCTCTCTATGTTTGACAGTTTGCCAGGGTCGTGACATAAGTAAATGCTGCATATGAGGCTGCACGTATGTTCATGGGTTGGAACTGTCCTCATCCAGCACTTGCCATCTGCAGAAGTACTTATCACCACCACGTTCCTTTTGTCATCTCTGTATCATTTCACTTCACTTTGCCCTCTTCTTCTGTAGGGTTGGAAATGAGCACACCAGGGTTCATGTAGTCTGTCGCAGGTAGTAAACTCAGACCCAGCTCTACAGTGGCTAGTCCACTCTGTCTAACTGGAATGGACTGGAATAAATGCCTTCTGTAGCTACATTAAAAAATAAAACAAATAACCAGCACCCCACAAGACCCTTATTAAACTGATCAGTGTGGTGCACACCTTTAATCTCACCATTTGGGAGGTAGAGGCAGTCAGATCTCATGAGTTTGAAGCTAGCCTGGCCTGCTTAGTCAGTTCCAGACCAGCCAGAACTACAGAATGAAACCCTGTCTAACAAAAACCAAAATCCCAAACTAAAGCAAAAACCCTCATTAAGCAGGTGAAATGAATTCATTAAAATATACTTAGATATAAACTATTCAAGTCCTAAAGAAGACTGGAGAACTTTGACAATATTGGTTTGGGCACAGGGTAAGTCCTGTGTGCCCCCTACTTAGAGCAGTCTAGCTGCCCGTGTGAGCTATTCAGCCTGTCAGTGGACAATGAGGCATTTCCATTGACAAATGTCTCACCTACCTATGTGTTTGGTGGTATTCTCTAGATTATAATCTCACCTAGAACTCCTTTCTGACCTTTATGTTTTGAAGTCTTTCTATTTTTCTGAAGTTTTCATGGACACATGGACCATTTGGCAAATGTCAAATAGCCTTCTGGTGTAGAATCCAGTTTGTCTGAGAATTGTGGTTTTAATTTTATCCTTTACTTGTAGAAATGATTTTATGCATTTCATTTTAACACAATAATGCATTTTTGAGAGGCGAATGTGACATTTGTTCCAGAGGAAAGTGCCATTTGTGGACTGATGTTCACAGTGGCACCAGTTCTTTAAAGGAGCAGTGGCTTGGAATGTTCCTTTTCCAGAACCTCATCTGCTCTGAGTGTGGGGATGAGTTCACGCTGCACAGCCAGCTGGCCATACACATGGAGGAGCACCGACAGGAGCTGGCCAACAACCGAGTCCACACCTGCAAGGCCTGTAAGATGGAGTTCGAGACGACGCCCGAGCTGAAGGAACACATGAAGGCTCACTGTAAAGCTAGGTATGGTCATTCCCAGACTAGCACAGTGAAAACCCTGTAGGATCCAGAAAACTGGCCTACTTGGCTGTGATTGACTCAAGTGTTTGATGTTGTAGGAAGAAACGCAGCAACTATGAGCACACAGCTGATTTGTCCTGGTGTTGTTAACACTGTTGCCATGTTCAATAGAAGTCCAGTTTCCTCACTGGTGTTTGGATACATACATATACTCCTGGCCACACTTAATATTTTTTTCAGGTTCTTGAGTTTTAGCTATTCTAACTTATGTTGTTTCTTTACTTTTTTTAAAAATTTTTTTAACATTTATTTTTGACACGTTGATACATGTGTATAATGTATTTTGATCATATTCACCTCTTCCTTTCTTTCCTCCTTCATCTATGCAATTCTTTCTGACACTTCTCATTCCTACTGTCATGATTTTTTTTTAAATGGTCACTGAATTTAGTTAGGGTTGCTTGCACTTGCACAACTGTGGGATTATTTCCTGGATCATGAACAGTTTACAAGTGGCTGTGCTCTTGAAGCCAACGCAGCCATTAATAGCCAGTAGCTCTTCAGCTAGGGCTAGGGCCGTGAAAGCTGACTTGTTCGATGCTGTACAGCTCCTGTGTAGGTTAGAGCAGCTCCTGAGTTCACAAGTGCAGTGACCACACCTTGTCTAAGAGGCGTGGCTATAATTCTTACTGCTCCTCCTTCTCCAGTGTATCCTTAGCCTTGGGGTGGGGAGGAAGTTTTGCTTATTAATAGACAAGAAGTAAAGGAGGTTGTCCTGGCTGCCTTGCTTCCTTTTTCCTGCTGGTAGTGATTGGTTGTCACTTTCACTGAGCTGACTTTTTGTCTTTTGTTGTTTTTTGTTTGTGTTTGGAGGGGTTTGTTGTTATTGCTGTTGTTTTAAAGGTAGGGTCTCATTTTGTAGCTCATGTTGGACTTATGGAGATCACCTTCCTAAGTACAAGGATAGTTGTTTATATGCCTCCATGCCTGTCACCAAGTTGATTTTGACAGGCTACTATAAAGGACAGTGCCAGCAATTGTTTAGCAGTAATGTTATTAATTTAGCTTGCCACCATGCCAAGCTGTAATGGTTAGGGAGTGTCTGTTCTTTTTACCAAGAAGTGTTGAAAAGCTATAAACACTGGGCAGCATGTAATATGCTCCCAGGGCTGTTTAGATAGGGGAACTAGTAGGTTCCTGCCTCTTGTCTTTCATTTTCACTTTGCCTGTTGTTCACTAATATCCCCATTATTTTAGTGTCTGGCTTGTTTCTGATTTTTGAGACAGGGTTTTGCTGTGAAGTCCAGGGTGACCTTAAACAACCATCCTCTTACCTTTACATCCTAAGTGCTAGGTTATAGGCATGCATTGCTATTTCAGTTTTATATAAAAATACAATGTGGGTTGGGAATGTAGCTAGCTCAGTTGGTAGAGTGCTTACCTCCCATGCACAGGGTTCTGGGTCAGACCCTAGCACTATGGAAACTATGCATGATCTTGCATGTGAATCTAAGCAGTAGGAAGGCGGAGGCAGGACACCAGGAGTGTTCTTATTCTCTCTCTACACGTGTGTCTGTATACATGTGTATAAAATGCATGCTTCCTACATACATTAGGTCCTGGAGCTGATTGGAAATGTATGGGTGATTGCTTTTCTCGTAGAGAGTCTTAGCAGGGGGGCAGCAGGGTGCCCGGAAGCTGTATGTTCTATGTGTAAGCAGTACTCTCCTACAGATAGCATGACTGCAGTAGTGTTGGTGCCTGGAAGATGACATGCTTGAGAGTAAAACCAAAAACTTTTGAAGATGGATTTGTAGAATCTGAGTGAGGTCTTAAGATTTAAACCTAAGGAATTTCCATTTCATGATATGGAAAGGAATAGATTGAAATGGCACAGGGTCCTTTTTTTTTTGTGCAAGAGATTTATTGGGAGAGTGGGGAGAGGGAGAGCCAAAGAGTGAAAGGCAGTCTTGGAGGGGGGACATGACAGAGGCAGACAGACAGACAGGAAAACAAGAGGAGCAGGACAGGGGACTGTGATGGACAGGCACTTTTAAGGGGTGCGCATGTCATAACTGACGGTGGGAAGGTGTCTGGTGGCAGGTACCATGTAACTCCTTGGAGGCTGAGGCAGGTGTCTAGGGTTCTTTCTGATGTTTGACTGTTGCTGCCAATCAGACAGTTTCCAGGGAGGTCAAGTAAAGAGTCAGTTGTCTAGCTGTGTGGTGAGAGGTGGACATTTGTCAGCATGCAGGTCCTGTTGAGCACAGAGAGCTGTAGGAGAGCATGTCGATGTAGAACTCATATCTGCATGGGCCTCCGTGCTGACTAAACCAACAAACCATGCTTCACAAGATTCCTTCTGCCTTTGCTTCCCAATCACTGCAAGCAAACCAAGCTTCTATTTTCACCAGAAATGGGCAAAAATGAATCTATACCACTTAACTCATAGATGTGTACTTTTGTGTTTGTATGTTAGGCAGACAGATGTTTGACTTACCGTTAAAGCATATTGTGATGACCCTCCAGCTAGAATCTGTGGCAGTCTTTCACCTAGAAACATGATGGAAGGAGGATGACTCAATGTTTTCTCGTATGTCGTACCAGGGCATCAGGTACAAGAACTTACAATCGGAACATTGACAGAAGCGGCTTCACGTACTCGTGTCCACACTGTGGAAAGACATTTCAAAAGCCCAGTCAGTTAACGCGACATATAAGAATACACACAGGTATGGGAAACATTTGCTTTCAGATGGTTTATTATGTGATTCAAAGGAAGTGTGCTCACTGCTAGTTTAACTTGCAGTCTCACCCCAGCTTTTCTGTTCTTTGCTATATAACCTCGGTGCGGTTAGCTAATTTTCTGATTTCATTCTCTTCTGTTTGTCATGTAGTTGCCCTAGATTATAAATGAAAAAATATGGAATAGTGTTTGGGTCGAGTGAGCTCCAGTCAGTTGGAGTTAACACGGTTGTTACTTGTCTGGCACCTGGGCTACTTAGATCTGCAGAAATAAAGGCAACACGGGGTCTCTGTGTGTGACAATTTGGCTTTAATGACACATATTACAAAACATTAAGGTAACTGGCATGACGCTATAGACATGTAATCCTGCCACTCAGGAGGCTGAGGTAGGACGATCAGGGCTTTGGGGTCATCCCAGCTATAGAGTTCCCCCAACCTAGTCTATAGTGTAAGACCCTGCCTCACAAACCATCAACGAACCAACTAAACAGCATTAAACTAAAAAAAAGGCTTATTTCTCTGTGTATTATCTTGCTTGCTTGTTAGACTTGCTTGAGTATTTGAAATGAATACAATATTCACAGCTGAATATTCTTTGCCATTTTGTGTAAGATAATTTATGCTCTTATGAATAATGCACGTGTTCTCTAGAGAATGATGAAGGAAATGACAAACATGTATATGTTTAAGATTAAAATAATAACAACCCGTGCTTTGCCATTTTTTTCTGATCTGATTTGTATTCCATTGGTAGCGACAAAGCAGCATGAACTTGCAGTGTTTGATTGGCTGCTTTGGCCAGTTCTGATTATGCTTTGTTGCTCTCTCTCTCTCTCTCTCTCTCTCTCTCTCTCTCTCTCTCTCTCTCTTTTGGTGTTTTAATGTAATGTTTTATATACTGTATTGCAGAATCACTCAGATAGTTTCTTAGCTCATTTATATGCCAGTATAAAGTTGATATTTTTAGAGCATTGTTCTATATTCCTTAAATCAAGAGAAGAAAAAAGTACTGTCTTTAAAATGTTGGCATAGGAGCTAGTTCCAGGACAGGCTCCAAAGCTACAGAGAAACCCTGTCTCAAAAAAAAAAAAAATTGTTGGCATAAGGGCATAGTTCAGTTGGTAGAGTACTTGTCTGCTATGCATAGAGTCCTGGGTTCAGTTCCTGATACTACACAAACTAGGTGTGCTGGTATATACTTGCTTGTAATCCCAGCATTTGGGAGGTGGAGGCCAGAGGATCAAAAGTTCAAGGTCATCCAGGCATGGTAATGCACACCTTTAATAACAACACTTTTGGAGGCAGAAGACCTGTGTAAATTCAAGGCTAACTTGGTTTACATAGGGAATTCTAGACCAGAAGGGATACATAATGAGATCTTGTATTGGTGTCTGCCCCTTGAGATTTTTTTCTGCACACCCATAAGTACATGCATCAGAGTAGCACATCCCCTTGGACACAATGCTGTATACACTTTCATGTGATTTTGGGAATTCGCCAAATGTCCTCTTCTTGGCATTGAGCTTTTGATCACATACAGTTTTTCTGGCTGGCTTCTTGAGTGCATGAAATGTTGGGGAAGGTGGTTTGCCTAGTCCTCAGCATCTTCTTACTAGCCTGTTAGGCTCAACTACAGGTAGGCTATCAAAGATGCTCTTAAGTAGAAGAAGGTTCATGTGTTCTCTGCTTGGTCTTTGAGTGGATGTACCTCATGTGATGTCATGATGTGATGTATGGCCTTCTGAGGGGCTACTGCTTGAGTGTATGAACCTCATCCAAGAAAGGAGAGATGCATCTCAGCTAATACCACTAGAACAGAAAAGATGCCTCTGGTAAGGACACCCCATTCCCAGGACCCAGGGTTCTTATTGAGCATCCTAATTGTCTGTCCCTCCCCAGTGATACCTCTTCTCTAAGATCACACTATTTTACTTAACCCTGAGGTCAGTTCAGAGAAGTAGGGATCTATGTACTCACATATTTCCCAGGGGATGAAATTTTAGTGAGACAAGACTTTGAACTAGTTTATAGTTAGATTTTAACTATATAATTTTTTCTTTTCAGTCATTGATCAGTGAATGAGTACCTATAGAATATGCTGTACTGAAGTGAGAGCCATGAACAGAACAGTGAACTGTCAGAAGTTACTGACTACAGGTCATATGGAGGGAGTTAAGCAGAAAAGGAGAGCAGGGATCACAGGATAGACATGAGAGATTTTGAAATCAACTGGAATTGGTTAAAAGTCATTTTTGGAGGTGATACTGTGGCAGCGACAGAAGAACCACGAGGGAGCAAGCTGTCTGGGTTCTCAGGGAAATGGACAGGCGTAGGTGACAGGCCTTCAGTGGACCTGTGTTCTGTGCTGAGGCAAGAAGAAGGTTCAGTAAAGAGCAGGTAGTGGGAAGGGATGACCTAGCTGAGTGGGGTTGAGAAGCTTGGGAGCACTGAGCAAGCCCAACTTGCTGTGATCTCATTTAGAAAGGGTCCCTCTGTTAAGTTGAGAGCAGCCCAAACAAGGTCTGGTGGAAGCAGCAGAGCTGGCCAGAGGTGACGAGGATGGATGGGGCTGTACCCTGCCTTGGGCAGTAGTTTGGACAGGGAGCAGGGCTGACCTGGGAGTAAGCAGGTTGAGAGAAAGCAAGAACTCTGTGGGGTTCGCTTGGGATATGGAAAGGTTTGTCTAGAACAGGGTGAAGTTTAAAAGATACCTGACACCTGTGTATATGAATTTAGGGTCCCTGGGAGATGTTTGGCTGGCAGGATAGTTTGTGTACCTTGTGTCTTTCTCTCACCCTAAAATGCTCACCTAGTGATTCTTTTTCTCTCTGGTAGGTGAAAGGCCATTCAAATGCAGTGAGTGTGGAAAAGCTTTTAACCAGAAAGGGGCACTGCAGACCCACATGATCAAGCACACAGGAGAAAAGCCACATGCCTGTGCCTTTTGTCCTGCTGCCTTTTCTCAGAAGGGGAACCTGCAGTCCCATGTGCAAAGGGTCCACTCAGAGGTGAGCATGGCGTTTGGGCTCTGTGCACTATCTCAGAGTGTTAGACGTCTCTTGAGTTAATGATTAGTCTGAGAAAGTTTGTTATAGTTTTGAAAAATGCAGATTGAACTGTGTATAGTACCCTATTTTAGCAAAAATACTTTGATGAGAACATAGTGTTTTTGTTGTTTTTGACAGGTCTTGCTATGTGGCTGTGGCTGGCATGGTACTCAGAATGTAGCTCAGGCTGACCTTGCATTCATAGGAAGCACTTCAGCTTCCTGAGTGTTGGAATTGTGTGCACCACTGTTCCAGGCACTTTTGCCACTTTTATTATATGTGGAGAAATACAAAATCTTATCTCGCCCTCTTACTTTTAATGAGTATTTAAAAATGGTAATATATTTGGTAAATGTGATCTATCAACCATGATCATCTATTTCAGCAACAGACACTATCAAGTGTAACAAGAGAAAGACAAGAAGTAAAACAGAAAGCCCTGTCCTTGCTGTAGACAGAGTGGGGCTGGCACTTGGCCCCGAGGAAGACTTTACACGGACCTAGCTGTATGTTCTTGCCATGCTACATGAGTCAGCTCAGATGACTGCCGTTGGCTGTTGTCTACAGGTCCTGCTTAACTGTAGAGCCCCTGGAAACATTTGCATTAAGTTTGTTTTTAGGAGCAGTGTGTCTATTATTTAGAGTGTCTTGGTCATAGCCTAATTATAGAATATAAAGGAATATTTACTTAATACAAATGTTTATATCATGAATCAGTTTATTGTTGGGGAATATTATTTTAAGGTATGTGACTTGTTTATGCTCTATTTGTTTAACTCTGTGAAGCTGTACTGCTGTACTTTTCTTAAATACCTGGTGGTCCTAATAAAGAGATGAATGGCCAGTAGCGAGGCAGGAGCACGGATAGGCGGGGCTAGCAGGAGTATAAATAGAAGGAGAACCAAGGAAGAAGAGGAGCAAGAGAACAAGGAGAGGAGGACATCAGGGGCCAGCTACCCAGCCAGCCACAGAGTAAGAAGTAAAGAAAGGTATATAGAAATAGGGAAAGATAAAAACCCAGGAGCAAAAGGTAGGGGGAGTAATTTAAGAAAAACTGGCAGGAAAAAAGCCAATCTAAGGCTGGGTATTTATAACTAAGAATAAGCCTCCTTGTGTGACTTATTTGGGAGCTGGGTGGCACGTTTCCCAAAACTCCAAAAGAGTAGACCATCACACAGCAGTTTATTGTACAGCAAAAACATTTTAAAGAGCAAATATGTATTTTAAAGCTTTTCATAGAGTTAATCCCCAGTACCACTTTAGTGACTGGGAAGCTAAAACAATGTATTAGAAATTGAATGACTGACGTATCATCTCAGCACTCAGGAGGCTGAGGCAGGAAGGTTGTGTGTTTGAGGACAGTGTGGGCTAGTTAGCAAAAGTTTGTCTCAGTAATGACAATAAAAACCAAAATAAACCCAACAGAAGCCCCCTTAGTAAGAAGAAAACTAGGCCTTATGGGATAGCTCTGCCTAAAGTGCTCGCTTTACAAGCATGAAGACTTAAGTTTAGTTCCCAGAATCCACATCGGGGTTAAAAAAAAAAAAGCTTAAAAAAAAAAAAGCTGGGCGGTGGTTGCACACACCTTTAATCCTAGCACTCAGGAGGCAGAGGCAGGCGGATCTCTGTGTGTTTGAGGCCAGCCTGGTCTAAAAGAGCTAGTTCCAGGATAGGCTCCAAAGCAACACGGAGAAACCCTGTCTCAAGAAACAAAACAAACAAAAAAGGCCAGGCATTTAAATTTAGTTCTTATGCGGTACTGCAAATAGGTTAGGGGTGACTTGCGCATTTTCAAGCCTGCCTCGTAACCATGACGGCAACTAAGGTTAGGTTTGAATAATAGAGAATATTTGGGATACAGTCTCTGATCATAGATGTTCTTACTCATTTTAATTATTTGTAGTCTGTTTCTGGCTTAGTTGTAGTTATAAAAAATAATCATGGATGAATGTTGAATTTGGTGAAAAATTTACCGATTTTAGCCACTCTTCCATACCTTGCTAGGCCCCAGAAGCTCACTATGCAGAGTGATACTCCCTGATGTACCCAGCCTTTGCTGGGGAGCATGTTTAGCAATCTAAGAAGTTGAGGACATACGATGACATTTTGATGTTTAAATTATGATAACAGAAAAATTTGTTTCCTCATTCCTAGCCGCTTCTCATTTAGAGAAACACTGAAATTTTAATTGATATTAAACTAGTAATATTGATTAAGTAGTTGTATCATTGATTCTTCAGCTAATTTAAAACAAACAGAATACCCATTGCTAGAGCTGTGTATTATCTCATGCTGATGAAGTGCCAAATTTTCTTTGCTATCATTTAAGTATGCTCATCTATTGCCTAAAGATTTTTTAAAAAAACTACTTTTTCTTTTTTTTTTTTTAAGGTAAAAAACGGGCCCACTTATAACTGTACAGAATGTAGCTGCATCTTTAAAAGTTTAGGTAGCTTAAATACTCACATCAGCAAGATGCATATGGGTGGACCCTCCAACTCCACAGGTTCTACAGAGACTGCACATGTTATAACGGTAAGCTTAATAATTTAATTTAAATTTAAACAACAAAAGCCTCAAATTTCATTTTAAATATGAACTTTTGAATTACCAAAAAGTATGGTTAAAGTTTTGTACATAATGTGCTACTTGTTTTTTTTTTTTTAAAATAAAATTTATCTGTCTAAAGTTCAGGGTGATGATGCATAATCTTGATTTATGGCTTATCATTTAAACCTTTAAAACAGAAAAAATTCTCAGTAATTTATGGGGTTCAGTTGTTGTAGTCATTGCTGTTGATGATTATTAAATATTATTTATCTTTAAGAGTTAATCCACTTAGTAGGTAATGTTTCTCATTTTCTCATGTGGCAGTAATAATTTCTCCTAAGTCTTTTGGGATACCAAATTCTGCTTCCTATACATGTATTTAGAAGTGGAATGACTCTAAGTCATGCTCAAACATATTACCCACAAAAACACAACCCCACACAAATGCACACATGGACACACACACATTTTTGTGTGTTTTTTTCCCTAGGATTTTATAACAGCTTTAATCATAACTTTCACCATACTTTATCAGTTTATAATAAGTTGCAAAATCTAAGCCTAGGATGTGGTATTATTAAAGTTGACTACACAGTACAGAAGAATTTTCATGAATGTTCATGTGTGGTACATGGTGGTAGTGTCTTTGCTTCCTTTCCTCAGTGCTGGCTAGTGACTGGGTCACACATGGTGTCCTTTTGCTCTAATTTTTTTCTTTCTCATAGTTTAGTAGTTAAGAATGATTTCCTCAGTTTATTGTTAGAGTGCTATAAAGTTTTATAGACAGGAATAATTGAGTAATTATGAAATCATAAAAATTCTATCTATTTTTGGACTTACAATTTTAAAAAAACGAATATTTTAGTGTGTCAGTAACCAAATAATAGTTTCACCATTTCCTTTGTCAGTATGTAATTCTAATGGTGGTTGTACACAATAAGCTGGATAATAATTTGTGTGTGGCGTGTGTGTAAGAGAGAGAACATGCTGAGAGAGAGAGAGAGAGAGAGAGAGAGAGAGCACATAAGAGAGAGAGCTGCATCCATAACAGAATTGTTTCTACTGAAGTGAGGCACTTGCTTCTGAAAGCCACTCCTGCTGAATCTGACCTGCTTCTATTGTTCCCCTTCACAACTCTCGCCATCTCTGGCTGCTTGTTTGTGTCTCAGAAGACACAGTTACTACACCTTCCCATGCACAGCTGGAGAAGGCATGTGACCAAGTGTTTGCGTCAGAGTTCTCTAGAGGAACAGAACTTACAGAATGAATTCCATCCATCCATCCGTGTGTGTGTATCTGTCTGTCTGTCTGTCTGTTTGTGTATCTATCTATCTATCTATCTATCTATCTATCTATCTATCTATCTATCTATCTATCTATCTATCTATCTATCTATCTAATTATATGCACCTCCAAGGGAATTTATTAGAATTGCTTACAGGCTGTGGTCCAGCTAGTCAAACAGTGACTGTCTACCAACAGAAGGTCCAAGAATGCAGTAGCTGTTCAGCCCACAAGGCCGATGTCTCAGCTGGTCTTCAGTATACCCCAGAATCTCAAAGAATAAACTCTAATGCCAGTGAAGGGCTGGACTTGCAAAGAGAGTGTGAAGACAGCAGGCAAAGAGAGTCAGCTTCCTTCTTCCATGTCCTTATATAGACTGTCCACAGAAGTGGTGGCCTGTGTTTAAGATGGATCTTCCCAACTCAAAATATTTAATTGTGGAAAAAACCTTCTTTGGGTTTCAGTTCCAGATGTAATAATTAGTGGCCACCACACAAGGAACCTGTTTGTTTTTTCTTAAGTTTTATTTTTTTTTTGTTTTACTAGTCATTTTTACTCCCTCCTCTACTAGAACTCTTCTTCTCAACAAGTTGCCTTTCTACCTTTATGTTTTCTTTTTGTGGATGACCATTGAGGTTAATTTGAGGCTCTTGCCTGAGCATGGGTATGAGCTAATTTACTGGAGCAAGGGCAATTATCAATGGCTATACCACTAATAAGATGACAGTCTTTCCTTCTGTGAATTGCTAGTGTTCCCCCAGGGAGGAACCTCTGACCCCTACCCTATGCAGAATGAGATGAGGAATCCAATCTTGTGACCGTCTTGTGCAGATAGCCACAGCTCCATTGAGCTCATGAGTGGGAAGCTATGCCAGTGTCATCTTTTGACTACACATTTCACTGTCCTCTGGCTCATATTCTTTCCATCCCCGCTTCCTTGGGAACCAGCTCTTCAGTGTGGTGTTAGAGTACAGAGGACTTTAGTTTGAGAAACTAAAAGGCCATTAAAAGCTTCCTGAGTCACATTTGATAGCTTGTTATTTTTATTTTGGTAGAGTCAGGCCCCCCCTTTAAAAAAACCTATCTATCCATCTATCTGTCTATCTATGTATCTACTATCTGTTTGTCTGTCATCCATTGCCTGAAGGTAAGTTCTTTGTGGTTTTATGGAGGATGGCAATGGTTTTTTTTATTACTATTTTCATAGCACTTTATGAATTACTAAGTATTCGTAACTAAAAAGTAAGTACAATGACCTGGCAGTATTCTTACTAACAGTTGCTCTTGTTGCTGGTGAGCACTGTGCTGTTGTGGTTCACTTGCTGTAATTGATTGAGTACTTTGGATAGATTACTCCTGTGTATATTACCACCATTGGTCATGTGCATTCTGTAGGTGGATAAGTGTGTCCACCTCTGCAGAACCAGGCTGAGAACTTGCACTGCCCCGAGCTGCCTTTGGACTTAGCATTTCTGTTCCTGAGTTCTGGAGGAATTAGGCTCTATTTTCCAGTATGTTCTTGGCTGTAGCATCTCAGAAGTGTGTTAAACATTTTGACCACATCAACTTCCTTCCCTTTCTTTGCCTCTGTTTTTCCTTAACATTGTGCTTTTTTAAAACATTAACTCTTTTTGGTGGATAATGGGAAGATGAGCACTGATATCATCTCCCACTCTCATGAGAACTCCTAGACGGTTGTAGAAGGGTTGGTTTATTGAGTGCATTCTTTTAAGAGCTAGCATTGCACTCTACAGAGATTACTGAGGAATTGCATCTCAGTTTTTGGGAAGCAGTAGCTTTTGATGCCATTAGGGAGGGTGTTCCCTTAATATAGTTTGTGTTTAACTTGAAAGTTGCATTTTTAATGAAAATGTTGCTGTGTTCCAGGCCACGATCTTTCAGACTTTGCCTCTGCAGCAGGTGGAAGCCCAGGTCTCATCAGTCTCTAGTCAGCAGAATTCTCAGGCAGTGACTGATGTCATTCAGCAGCTTCTGGAACTGTCTGAGCCGGGGCCAGTGGAGGCACAGCAGTCCCCACAGTCTGGGCGACAACTGAGTGTGACAGTGGGCATCAACCAGGACATCCTCCAGGTGAAGCATGCTTACCTGCTGGGCTCTCAGGAATCAGGGTTTACTATTGAGCAGTGGAGATGCAAGGAGGCTGGTTTTAAAATGTGGCTGCATTGAAAATGATGGTAGTAAAACAAAACATGCCTGTGTCATCACCAGCAGGCAGTGCTGAGTTCTAAACAGTTTGGTAATCTGTACATTTAAGAAAAATGGAAACTTTTTTTTATTCCGTAAATGAACTAACTGGACATGGGTAGGTTCTTTAAAGCTTGTCCTGTGTCCATCCCTGTTGAGAGAGGTGAAAAAGTGTTTCATTCTTCCTAAGATGCAGGTGTACTGTATAGAAGGTCCTAGGCATGTATAATGTAGAGACACGATGTTGGCTTTGTGTAATTAGTGTGTAAATGAATGGCCCCAGCAACTCTGAGAAATGGGGAGGAAGGAAGTTGATTGTACTTGCTTAGTTCTCCCAGCTCTGGGCAGAGTGCGGCATTCACAGATATGCTTCACCTCCAGAGAGGCAGCTGTCCTCTTTTCTCTGTGCCTTAGGATAAGTTGATCAGGGTGTCAGGAACTCTGGTTGTGCCTTACAGGTATACCTGAGATAATTTGTGACCCAAGTATGTTTAGAGACAGCCCAAGTTTCTGAGCTAAGACTTCTGAATGTTAATTAAGGATTTTTGATCCCATAAATTTAAGAACTATAACTACTTATGTCATGTTTTGGGTGGGGTAAGATGTAGACTATTAGGGGTGTTGCAGTCTCCAATAGTAAACCGTTTCTTAGAATTATAGAGCTTTTTTTCTTAGAGAGGAGCTAGAGTTCTGTGGGTAAGACTATGACATCTTGGGATAGCTTTTGGTAGGCACATTTGGGCTGTCGGCTTTTCTAACCTTATAGTTTTGTTCTGTCTCAGCAAGCCTTAGAAAACAGTGGGCTGTCTTCACTTCCAGTTGCAGCACCTCCCAGCGACTGCAGCCATGCTCAGACGTCCACAGTGTCTCCTCAGAGTCCACATGCCTCTAGTGTCTCTGCTGAGCAAGCCGATTCCATAGATGCAGAGCAGGAAAAGGGACAGGAAAGTCCTGAGAAGACAGAGAGGAAAGAGAAGAAGATTATGAAGAAGAAATCACCGTTTCTACCTGGTAATTTGCTGTGTACTTTTCCTTTCCGATACTGTGATGGTGTTATCCTTGTGTTAGAGAATGTGTCTCCCATTTTCCTGAAGTGGCATCTTCACGGCATGTTCTGAATCTTCACTATAGTTGACTGGTGTTGCAAAGTAAAAGGGTGACACCACAGCATGTCTTGTGTCCTCCTTGATTCAGAAGGCTACTCCTATGCCTAGTCACAGGGCTGGATTTCAGTGTGTCTGTTGTAGCTAAAGTATTTTTTGTTCCCCTGGTTTCCCTGGACGAGGTTTTCTTTGCCCGCCTGTTCACTTAACTACTCTGAGCTGGGCGGTGGTGGTGCATGCCTTTAATTCCAGCCCTTGGGAGGCGGAGACAGGCAGATCCTTGTGAGTTCGAGGCCAGCCTGGTCTACAAGAGCTAGTTCCAGGACAGGCTTCAAAGCTACAGAGAAATCCTGTCCCCAAAAACCACTCTGAGGCTTAATATTAATTACATACTCTTTGGCCTATTAGTTCTTAGGCTTCTTATTAACAAGTTCTTATATCTTAAATTAACCAGTTTCTATTATTATATATTTTACCACGAGGCTCATGGTTTGTTACCTCACATCTTGCTTCTTGGGCAGCTACATGGTGTCTTATTCCATGCCACCCTTTCCCGCTGTTCCAGGTCTTCCTACCCTGACCCACCCTGTCCTCAGGCTTCCTTGCCCTGTTGTAGACATCCCTTACTTTACAGTTGGATGCCTGCTGTCCCAGCCCTGCTTTTAGAGGCTTTTCTGCACTGAGAATATCTTTCTCTTTACCCTTCCAGTCCCTGTAAGACTCTAGCTATCTCTCAAGACTGTCTTCAGTGTGATGCCTGCTCCTTCTGATCCCATCTTGTACAGTGTACACTGGATGGTACTATGCCTGCTGGCGATGGTTGGGAAGGTCTCTTGCTGCACTGCATCCCTCTAGCCTGGAGTGTGCTTTTTTCACTTGACTCCTCTGGGTTGCTTGTTGCTTTTTCACAGCAGCAGGTATTCACAGACCACTTTATATGACTGTAGGTCTTGGGCAACATGGCCATCTCTGTGGGCATATCTTTCCTATAAAGAAAATACTTTCTCGTCAATGACATGTAAATGGGGAACCCTGGTTCTTCATTCAACCCAACATTGCAGCACTATTCTTTTGTTCCCTTTGAGCTGGTCACTTGCTCCCTGTGACAGAAATAGGATGGTGAAATGAAGCATCCGAGTTTCATAAAAGGAAAGGATAAAACATTTTTGTGTGTATATGCTTCTTACGAACAGATGCAAATTCAGAGCCCATGGTGTGAAACCTTTGAGTTATCATGGCTCTTGTCTATTTGTGCTAAATTAGAGACAGTCTCAGCTCTTCCTGCAGACCACTGACTGAGGAATAGTCTTTGTGGGCTCGTGTACAGTGCTGTGACTGAGGTTCTGAGAGAAGCAGCTCAATCTGGGAAGGGGTTGTTTTGTGTCTAATTGTGGTGGGGAAAGAGGCAGCTGGTACCATTGCATCTGCCATTGCATCTTCACGTCAAGAGGCAGAGATATGTGCTGGTGCTCAGCTCACCTTCTTTCCTCACTCAGCCTGAGACCCCAGTCTGTGCAGTTTTACCACCCACATTCCCTACATTCAAGGTGGGTCTTTCTTTCTCAGCTAGATGTCTCTAGAGACAGTCACATGTATAGGTGGGATTCTACACCCAGTTAACTTAATGATGAGAATTAACTCAAATAGTATCTTTTATACCAATAAACATGGTTTTTTTACCTACTGATGTCTTAGATTCTAAAAATCTTGTAACTTTTCTGTTGGACTTCCTCTTTTATCTTACTCTTTTTGGGGGCATGAATTGTCTTTAAATTGCTTTTCCTGTTTTTTGTTGGTATATGGAAAAGCGATTGAGATTTTTTTATTGATTGTGAATCCAGCAACTTTTAATAACCCTTTATTGTGGCAGTTTATTTCTAGATGATTTTGTCTTTTCTATGTAGACAATATCTTAGATTGTTTATTTGTTTATTGTGTGTGTGTGTGTGTGTGTGTGTGTGTGTGTGTGTGTGTAGGTCGGAGGATTACTAGCTGAAGTTCCTCCTTTCTCCATGTGGGTTCCAGGGATTGAACTCAGGTCAGACCTGGTGGTAAGTACCTTTATCCACTGAACCATCTTACTGACCCTTTTTAAATTTTTGATTATGTATCTGTGTGTCTGTTGGGGGGGGGTGTTAGGTGCACGTTAGTGCAAGTGCCAAGGGAGGCTAGAGGTGTCCTGCCTCTTTGAAATGGAGGTACAGGTGTTGTGAGCTGTTGATGTGGGTCCTGGGGGTCTCTGTAAGAGCAGTGTGTAGTTAACTATTAAACCGTCTCTCCAGCTCCCATGTAGACATTTTTTGTTTTTGCCCTTGAGAAAGGGTTTTTTCTATGTAGCCTTGACTGTCCTGGATGTCGCTCTGTAGACCAGGCTGGCCTAGAACTCATAGAGATATGCTTGCCTCTACTTCCCAAGTGCTGGATTAAAGGCATGTACCACCACCTTCTGGCCCCATGTAGGCATTTTTATCATGTAAAAGCAATGGCAGTTAGGCAGTTCTTTTTTGTTTGTTACGCGTTATCCATGTATAGCCATGACTGGTCTGGAACTTATTGTTTAGCCCAGACTGCGCTCTAACTTACTTCTGACTCTCAAATGCTAGAACTTCAGGCATTTACCACTGTATTTGAGCTAATTCTTTTTGTTCTTTTGTTTGTTTTTGCTGTTGTTCCTGTTTTTGAGACAGGGTTTCTACATATAGGTTGCTTTTAGGTGAAGGTAAGTACTGAGATCGCAGGTGTGCTCTATCATCTCCGACTAGTGCTCCTGTCCTTACTGTCCTAAGAGCTGGGATCGCAGGTGTGCTCTATCATCTC